GCTGGCCCCCATCTTCACACAGATCTTCAACCGATCACTGGAGCTCTGTGAAGTACCCTCCTGCTTCAAACGCTCCACGATCATCCCGGTCCCCAAGAAATGCTCCATCACAGGATTGAATGACTACAGGCCCGTCGCGCTGACGTCTGTGGTCATGAAATCCTTTGAGAAACTGGTATTGACCCATCTGAAGGACATCACAGGGCCCCTGCTGGACCCCCTGCAGTTTGCCTACCGTGCAAACAGGTCGGTGGATGATGCAGTCAGTATGGGACTGCACTACATGCTGCAACACCTCGACTCCCCAGGGTCATATGCAAGGGTTCTGTTTGTGGACTTCAGCTCAGCGTTCAACACCATCATCCCAGCAATACTCCAACCCAAACTCTCCCAGCTCACTGTGCCAGCCTCCACCTGCCAGTGGATCACTAACTTCCTGACTGACAGGACGCAGCAAGTGAGGCTGGGAAAATCACATCTAGCACCCGGACTATCAGCACTGGCGCCCCCCAGGGTTGTGTGCTCTCCCCACTGCTCTTCTCCCTCTACACCAACGACTGCACCTCAGAGGACCCAACGGTCAAGCTCCTGAAGTTCGCAGACGACACAACGGTCATCGGCCTCATCAGGGACGGTGATGAGACTGCGTACAGGCGGGAGGTTGAACAGTTGGTCCTCTGGTGTAGTCAGAACAACCTGGAGCTAAACAAGCTCAAAACTGTGGAGATGACAGTGGACTTCAGGAGGAGCCCCCCAACACTGCCCCCCCTCACCATACACAACAACACTGTGTCTGCTGTGGAGACCTTCAAGTTTCTGGGATCCACAAACTCCCAGGACCTGAAGTGGGCCTCCAACATCAACACCATCCGGAAAAAGGCACAGCAGAGGTTGTACTTCCTGCGCCAGCTCAGGAAGTTCAACCTACCTCAGGAGCTGCTGATCCTGTTTTACTCAGCCATCATCCAGTCTGTTCTCTGTTCCTCTATCACTGTGTGGTTCGGATCAGCCACCAAACAGGACAGGAACAGACTGCAACGGATTGTCAGGTCTGCAGAGAGGATCATTGGTTCCAGCCTGCCCTCCATCCTGGACTTGTTCACCTCCAGAGTCAGGAAACGGGCTGGAAAGATCTCTGCAGACCCCTCACACCCTGGACACAAGCTGTTCCAACTCCTCCCCTCTGGTAGGCGCTACAGGGCTCTGTACGCCAAAACCACCAGACACAGGAACAGCTTCTTTCCACTGGCCATCACTCTCATGAACAATAAATAAGTTATACTGCACTATTACCACCACTTATAATTCATGCCATTGTCTATAGGTTTATGTTCACAT